AGAACCTGGACTCGGTATTAATATTTATGGAGCATCGGAGCCTCTGTGGAAGTACAGCAGCATTAATAATGAAAGCGGCGCGTGTGTGTGGCTGATATGTGTCGTTGCCCATGTGACACTGAGCGTGTGCTCATCTCTACTTTTATCGTGTAAACCTGAAATCCATCTCCAGCCTCCGTGCGCTCCCCAGAAACAGCTGAGCTACTGCAAAAATAAAGTTTGTTAGTCTGAGGAAGTCGGTGTGTCGGTGAAAACAGGGCAGAAGCTGATTGGAATACATTTTTTGTTCTAATTAACACTGACATTTCCAGATATTAATGATTCCTGCTGTGGAATGCAGCAGTTGGGCATCGCTGCAGTTTCCATTAGTCCACCAGAAAGCACAGATAAAATCAGGGGCTGACAAAAATGCGACACAGTGTGTGTGTGGAAAAGGAGATGAGCTGTTCAGTCTGCTAATGTATGATGGTTTTATGATGCATTATGATATACCTGCACAAACAGGTGTGTGTCATTAGCACTGAGCGACTGGGAGCTACCAAGTGGGCGAAGGGAAGGTACAACGGATGTGCTGTAAATTATTTTTCTGTGTTGGTGTTCTCAGCTGTGCCCCGAACCTTAGATGCTTTCTCTGTTATTCTGTATGAATGAGAAGCTCTGTACTGGTTTAGTTCACCTGCTGCTTACCTGAGTAGATGATATATTTACTGAAGTAGGTGAAGCTGAGGCGATATGAAAGCGGTCTGAATAGAAGTTAGAACGTCTGCGGCGGCTCGTTTCTCTTGTAAATAAATCAAAAACTGTGGCATGGACTTGACATGTGGTTCTGCTTTTTCAACACCGCTCTCCTCACTGCTGTCAAAAACTCAACTCAATTGCCTGTGAAGTAAAACATTCACCAGAAACCTCATAGAATCAGAAATATTGAAGTTTCACGTCAGATTTCTAATTACTTGGACGTCAAACATGCTTATTGATTACAACGAAGGACTCCTGTCCACTCATTTCTAATCTTCTTTCTCCACCAAGTAATCTGTTGTAAAGTCCGTGTAGACAATACTCACCGCTTATCAGCCACGTTGGCAGCGTCCACAGGAAGGTAAACATCAGGATCCTATCCAAATGAAAAGGGGGAAGAGTCGTAGGTTTACAGATTCACTGGTGACCGGGAAATGTTCTGACTGACCAGATGGGAGTTTAAGCCCGCCACTGGCCTCAGGTTTCACAGCTTCCTCCTCCACTTCCACTATTATCTATGCATTACTACGTCAAACAACAAGAATCGCTGCACAGTAAAGTTCTGGACGGTGCTGAAGGCAGCCCTGCTGGTTTTCTTGCCTCCCTGCATGCAAATGTTTCACCAAAACGTAACTGCTGCGTAGCTCCAACCAATAAGCTCGTGGCTGGTTTAAACCATCACAACCCAGAGTGGTTTGTTGACCTACCGGATCCATTCTGTGCTGGAGTGGTCGGGCTATGCAACAACTGCAACTCTTCAGTCTCCAGCAGCAACACCAAACGTTTAAAAAGTGACTTACAGGTTGTACTTCTGCTACACATGCGCACAGCTTCACAGGAACTGCAGATCAACACCATCGGCTGAATGTCTTCAGCGTTCAGCATCCTTTAATAGATTCTGAGCAGAGAAATGGTGCAAATGATTATTACTTAAAGCATCACCATTTATTCTATGTCAGCGTGTAAACTGATGTGAAAATGCTGCGGCTCTTTATTCCACAGCGGTAACGGGGCTTCGACATCACGTTTACCGTCCCTGCATGTTCCTCTCATCACACTAAAGCCAGACTACTGGCCTCCTGTTAGAGAGGCAGTAAAGCCTAAAGACTGATGCTATGCTAGCTGGAATGGCCATATGCTCTTTACCATTTGACACACTTGACTGGCATCTGGGGCTCAAATGAGCGCAATTAAAGTCTGAACATAACACACACTCGGAGGTGTGCGCCGGCATATTCATGAAGGATGAGTTTTCAAGGGCCTAACCTTATCTGCAGTTGTCATGGCAACATGTCTAACTCTATAACTTGAGCTACTTTAACCATAAATCTAAACATAAACCCACAAATAAACGGTTGCTTTTTCTAGTACTGTGTATTTCTGGAATACTCTGATGGACTTCAGTATTTAAATTTAAGTCCAGTGTTCAATAACCACACATTAAAAATGATGTCAGTGAATGTGGATTAGTTGATAAGCTGAACAGATCAGTGGCCTCCTGAGCCCTGACCTTTAACTCTAACCAGTCTACTGCCTGCTCCTGGCTCAGGCACGGACAGACCTTCTTCCTGCATCATGAAAGGAAACCAAAGCCTGAACATGGAGTTAGTTTCCTCACAGCATTTTGTGGTTTGTCGTTAATTATCAATCAGTCGGCGCGGCTGTGAAACAGCATCGACTGAAGTCCCAATGAAAAGGTAGTTTTGTCTGGGAAGTAAAAAAAAAAAAAAGAGGCAGGAGGTCATGATGTGACAGCAGTTTAGGAAGCTGAACATTTTAACTGAGAGCTGACGGGTGTCACAGAGAGCAACAAGAACCCAGGCAGGTCACATGATCCCTCCTCATAACGTCAAACACCTCCGACGTCAGACCTCCCCTCTGACGTCTCACCTCCCCTCTGACGTCTGACCTCCCCTCTGACGTCTGACCTCCACTCTGATGGAGACCAGTGTGCAGAAGCTTTCGGTTCAACTGGAAAACCGGAGAAGTTGCATGTGATGGTGCTGCAATAGGCTAACGGTGTATTAACGCTAACTTTTTAAGCAACACTGCCATCTACTGTTACCATCGTGTGAGTGCATCTCATTGAATATGCCAGAGCCAGAAGTTGTGATCTTACACAAGTGCATTCAGGCTTTAGTAGTTAATAGAGGATCCTAATCTCATGGATCCTCTCACATGAGCTTCATTGTTCTGTGTGTTTTCCAGTGAACACATTACTGATCCCTGTAGGTTTACTAGAAACAGAAGATTCATTTATTCTCCCCCAGTTTGAATCTTTCCACCAGTGGCTCGTTCATTAGAATAAAGTTATTAGAATGAACATTGCATGTACACACTGGTGCAGAACAAATGTGAATCCAGCATCATGCGAATACAAAAGCGCTCCATTAAATATTAGATCTGTCACAGTGAAGAGCACCAGGACAGGTCCATCACCTGCTGCTGAAACACCTGAACCAGCCTCCATCACCAGTCCTGAGCATCTGCTGCCTGAGCTGTCTGACTGATCGGCTGAAAGGGAGAAAGGTGGAGGAGAAAAAACCTCAGCGTTAGATTCCAGAAGTTCAGTGAAGGCTCCAGTTCATCTCTGTCTGGGATGGAAATCACTCACATGAACTAAAACCTTTTAATGTAGATACAATGAACTGCATTATTATTACGGTATTATGCTGACGGGTGTTTGTCCCATTTAGACGACATCAGTGTGGGTCGGCTACAATAAACACCTCTCTGTATGATAAGACATTAAACAGGAGCTTATAGGACTTCATCACACTGCATCAGACATGTGACCTTAATAAACTGCAGACAGAGTGAACACACTCTATGAACACACACTTACTCGATGCGTTCCTATTATTTAATATATTGCTCCTTGTAGCACTCGCTGTAATAATTTACTGAAAATGTAATGTCGTCTGAAAATTTAATAAAATTTGCACCTAATTTAATTTAAAATGTAATAAAACCCAGTAATATAATAACTTCTCCACGTTGTAATAAAAGGTCCTGACTGATCTTGTAATAACACTTCAGCAGTTTTTTCCTCGTTTAAAACGAGGCTCATGCAGAGTTCTACATTTTGTGTTTTAAAAATGCATGGATGGAAAAGGTGCTTTTAGTACTGTACAGTAAAATGAGGAGACATTTGGAGACACCATCCTGGTGTTATGGAGAGGAGGACGATGGACTACCTTCTGTTGGGACCACCATGTACACCTTTCTAGGTTAGAGAAGCTGCTCAAGCTGACAGCAGTAGAGCAGGTTGTCTGCTAATCATAAGGTTGGCGGTTCAATCCCCTCCACATGTCCAAGTGTCCTTCGACTAGACTGAACCCAAAGTTGCTCCCAATGGCAGGAGCTAACTAGCATGGCAGCCCTCCCACCGTCAGCGTGTGAACTAGAAACACACTGTGAAGCCCTTTGAGGAGAAGATGGGTACATGAGTGCAGACCATTCACCATTTACAGCTGGTTACTGTTCCTCAAACCTCCCTCTTCACTCTGTATATTTTCCTCCACCTACCGGGGGTCTGGTCACGGCGGCAGCAGTTCTTTCCAGACGTCTCTCTCCCCAGCAACACCTTCAGGTCCTCCTGTGGGATCCCAAAGCGTTTCCATGCTAGATGAGATATGTAATCCCTCCATCGAGCTGTTTGTCCAGGAAGCCTCCAAAAGCAGCCGTCCAGGATGCATCTTAATCAGAAGCTTGAACCAACCTAACTGGCTCCTTTTGATGCAGAGATGCTTCGTCCTGCTACCTCTGGATGTCGGAGCTCCTCACCCCGTCTCCAACACAGAGTCCAGCCACCCTATAACAGAAGCTCATGTATCTGCGACCTCATTCTTTCAGGCTCTAGCCAGACCTCATGGCCACATGTGAGGACTGGAACACAGAACGGCTGGTAAATCCAGAAGCTCACCTTCCAGCTCAGCTTCCTCTTTACCACGACGGTCCAGCAGAACGCCCACATTACTGATTACTGATGCTGCACCAAGCCATCTCACACTCCCTGTTCCCATCACTCATGAACAAGATCCTGAGGTACTCACACTCCCATGCTTGGGGCAACAACTTACCTCCAACCCAGAGGAAGTAATCCACCAGTTTCCTGCAGAGAACCACGACCATAAAAAGATTTGACACGGTGACCACTTTGACCACTAAAATAATCCTTAAATCTTTATCAGGTGATGCTAGCTGTGGCTGTGGGAGCGTTCCCTGCTCACTGGCTCTTATTGTAAACAGGAGACATGGCATCTGGTGAATCATTTATTTTCTATGCAGAATTAACCACGGCACCTCATTTGAGTCTGAAAGCCAGCAATCAGTTAACTCGCTCAATAGCACTTCATGCAAAAACATTTACAAGAAACAGACTTTGATTTGAATCACAAATTAGTCATTGTGTTGTTGGAGGGGAAAAAAAAAAAAGCTTTGTGGCTGAAAGCTTCCCAACATAAGCAAACAACAAAGTTTGTTCAGATTCAACAGAAGAGACGGCAGGAGAGAGCGTTCCCTCATTATCTCCTATAAAACATGGAGGCCAGCTTTCATACCACATGGAGTCAGAAGCTGATAATTACTGTAAGCAGCCCGATGGACACGTAAACGTACACGTGCTGCATGTCATGTGGATGGGAACACGTCTCAGCCCTCTGTCATCAAAGCACTTTGGTAGTTTTACAGGACTTGCTCAGTCAAGGTCCAAAAGAGTAAACTGACTTTAATAAACCTCCACCACCCATCGCACAGGTCATTTCCCTTTAACCTCTCCTTCCCGGGCCTCCCTGGTTCTGTAGTGCTCCTCTGGCAGGTTTCTCAGCTTCTCTGCAGCCTACGACAAGAACAGCAATATTGAGCTTTTATGCGGTTTTAAAGCAACAGGGAGTGTGAATCCACCACAGTCCTGGTTCTGCATTATAATTAGTTTGCTGTAAGAACTTCTTACTGCAGGAAGCTCTGGGTAAAATCATTAACTTGATCCATGAGATCTAACTGTAGTCTCAACAGGCTCGACAGAGAGCGAGACGGAACAGAAAACATTTTCCAACAAATATGCGTCTGCATTATGCGCTGTACACCGCAGAACAGCTCCTGTGCTGTATAAATGTGTGTTAATGAATAACCTGCTCAGGGGTGAGGTCCCGTTGCTCCTGGGCCAGCATCTCGTAGCCCACCATGAACTTCTTCACGGTAGCTGAGCGCAGCAGAGGAGGGTAGTAGTGAGCGTGCAGCTGCCAGTGGGAGTTGTCTTCTTTTAAATGGAGGCCGGTTGGGGCTCCTGAGGAGAGAGGAAGAGAACCGGCTTGCAGTCAGTCGGGTTTTGTTCTGCTGCTGCTGCTGCTGGCTACCACAGATTATCCAGATGGGTTGAGGGTGTTACAGCCTGAACCTGCACACTGACCTCAGCTGCTCTGTCCTCACATCCTACATAGCTGTGCTCTCACGTTGACCCCTTCCTGTCCTGAACAACACTGTGTGGATCAATCTGAACAATAAACCCAGTCTGAGTTTACAGTGATGTGATGAGTTTATATTAATTCATGCTATGTCTGGTGAGATAAACAAAATAAACTGAACTGAGGTGTTATATTTATTTCTGCACCAGTCCGTTCAGTGACGACGTGTTACAGATACAGATTAGATTGTGCCCTGTTGAGCGTCGTCGTACCAAATAATATCATAATTTACTGAAAACATAATAAAAACTGCATTTAACCCAACTGAAAATCCAATGAAACTCAATAATGTAATAAAATGTCCCAGATGGTGCAGATTTGGCTTTAAAAGTAACGTAATAAGCTTTTATCACAAGGTCGCACCAGCATGTATGAGTGGTCCTGCATGTTTATGGAGGGGTCTCTTCAAATTAAGTGTTGGGGAAAGTTGTTTTATTGGATTGTGTTTTTTTTCTTGAAAATCTGAGAAGGTTTAAGGATCAGCAACCTGAAGTCTGTGCTGCTCAGTAGCTCATCTGACCTCGAACTCTGCATTCTCACATTGTGGTCTCCAGAAGAAGTCGTCTACCATCCAGTACGTACAACACCAGGAAGCTGTTCTAACCCTAACCCTGCATGTATGTACATCTGGGCTTTAACCTAACAGACGTCGTGCCAATCCAAACCAAGGTGTTCACAAAATATAAAACTCTGGGCTAAAAATGAACCTCATGTTCCATCACAGGTATTACATCTTCACCGCGGACAGGTCACCAGTCCATCACAGGGCGAACGCAAAGAGACACACAATCATTCACGCTGGTTTTCATTCCAACAGCCAAGTTTAGAATCGCTAATGAAGCTAACACGCGTGTCTCTGGACTGTGGGAGGAAGCACCTGGAGAAAACCCACACAGGGAAAGAGAGAGGACATGCAAACTCCACACCGGGAAAAACTCCAACCGATGCAAAACACAGAAACACTGCAGGATATTCATTATCTCTGCAAAACTCGTGCGCAGCGAAACACGTGTGTGCACACAAGTATTGACGACAGCACAATGAAACACTAAAGAGTAATCAGGAATACGCATAAACCAGCTCATTTATCTCCCTGCTATCCATGAACAAGGCCTTCTGCTCATTAAGTCCTTTAAGCTGCAGATGAGACGCCCAGCCACCAGCTAGCCAACACGGTGAATTAAAGCAGCAGCTAGAGTTGAGTTTGCGGGTAACAGAGCTGTAATCTTAGGTTTCACTATGACAGCGTGCTTTTGTGAGGAGGCAGAAAATGAGTGTAAATGTGACTCTGTAGCTGCTCGACGAGGGTAAATGTGGAGCCTGAACCCCACAGCGTATAATTCACTTTGTGTTTAACGTGTTTATCTGCTCTTTTGTTCCGGATTTGCCTTTAATTTGACACCGACTCCGTAGGTAGCCTGACAAACCAAACTGCATCCTCTGCATCTTTATACGAACGCCTCTCTAAATCTTCTAAAGAGAGTCGGGACCAAAGATATATTTTCAATGACTTGTGACTGTTTAAACAGCTTCGGCGTTGCCTGTGTTGTCCTAATGGAAGCTAACGAGGCGATCAGAACAGCAGAAGCAGCAGTGGCATATATCCTAAAAAAAAACACACAAAAGAAGCTAAAAAAATCAAATAAAATAGATCCCTGGAGACACTGAATTTACAAGGAAAGCTTCTCCTGTTGAGGCAGTTTCTTGACAATGGGGGCTGATCAGACACAGATAGAGATGACAGGAAGGCGACATAAAGGAAACTAATGAATGGGAAACGAAAAAGGAGGAACAAAGAAAAGCCTGAAGCAGCCAGATAAAGAATGAATAGAGACGGATGCTCCTATTAGTGGACAATTACCCGGTTTTAAAGTGTGAGTGCACGAGTGTGTGCATCGATTCAGACCGGAAATAAAGTCACAGGTATCTGTGGACAGGACAGCAGCAAACCCAACAGTTAGCGCCGTAACGCTCAGACACAAATCATACCGCTGCACATCTGACTGATTTATAAACCACCACCATAAATCCAGCACGCCGCCAGTTACTCTGTGTGCTTTAATTCAGCCTGTATTATGGATTCCTTCTATAACAGAAGCCCCTCCGACTATCGGTCTCTCTCTCTGTCCCAGTCCTTCATCCAGACCATTAATACTGTCTGTGATGTGTTATATTTTTCTCGTCTAATCTAATCCATGATTTCCCAGATGACTCAAACAGCATCCAACCACGTCTCTCTCTCTCTCTCTCTCTCTCTCTCCACACTATCACTATTAACTTTAGGCCTCCAAAAAAGCTGTCTGCTTCCAAATGAGCTGAAGTAAAGCAGATGGGGGAACTCATTATCCGAGCCACGTGTGTGTGTTTGTAGATGTGGATGAGGATGTGGTGGTCAGTGGGTACCGTATGTCTGACAGTAACCTCAGCAGTCTCCTCCTCAGTGATGCAGCCTGATGTGGAGATTACAACTTCTTCTACCAACTAAAGAAAACGGTGATATGGAAGCAAACAATCAGCTGCAAGAGGCGCAGTGGACACCAGGAGACAGGTAACATGAGGATGGTGATACGGCACAGCAGAAGACACCTTAAGTTAAATGATGCAACACTTGTTTGTTTATAGTTTACTCAAACCGCACATCCATCCATCATCTCTACACCTTAATCCTCACTAGGGTCATGGGGGGCTGGAGTCTATCCCAGCTGACTCAGGGTGAAGGCAGGTTCACCTGGACAGGTAACCAGTCTATCACAGGGCTACACTTAGAGACAGACAACCAAGCACACTCACATTCACACCTACGGACAATTTACAATCACCAATTAACCTCAGCATGTTTCTGGACTGTGGGAGGAAGCCGGAGAACCCGGAGAGAACCCACGCTGCACGGGGAGAACATGGAGACTCCACGCAGGAAGATCCCGGGTGTCCTCACCGGGACGCCAACCGGCGACCTTCTAGCTGTGAGGCGCTAACGATGCTAACCACCGAACAGTCATGTGTGTAATAAAACTCCAACCTCAGGTACTGAGTGTGTCGATCATGATCTTGCTCTATATGTTCATGTACAATCTTCCTGACATTCATTTTAAACTCTACAGGCCTAATTTTGACGTCTCATTAATCATTTGAAGACAATTCTCACGTCTTATTTCTCTACATGTATTTACCTTTATGACTGAAAATTGTTTTTCACAGTAATTAAGGCAAAGTCACTGATTGCCAACGTGTACGTTGTGAACCCGTTCCCGTAACGTGACCTGTACGTTTTAAGTCTCTGAGAAATAAAACAGACTCAAAGATTAAAGCCCAAACTTAACATGAGATCTGTAGGAGCTTTCACCACAGGCAGCTGTAGACGGAGATTTGCTTCAAAGATCTGATATCTGATAAACTAAAAAAGAAAAGAAAAAGAAGAAGAAGAAGAAAGCGATGGCTGTGTCCTCTCATGCCCTCTGTCCTCTTTGCTGCACCACAGTTTGGGTGGGAGTGTATCATCTCTCTTTTTATAAACTATCTTTCATGTGGGCTGCCTTCGCCCGAGTGAACCTGCTTTTGAAAAAAAAAAAAAAAAAACAGCCAAAGATTGACAGCAGCACGGCATCGACTCAGGTGGTGAGTCTTAAAAAAACACAGAGAATTGATCTGAGATGACGTAATCATGGCCCAACAATCGCCTCTGAAACTAATTTGTCTGATTTGCATCTGGACTGTGAAGCTGTGGACTGAATCAAACAAGTTAGGATTCAACTCTGAGGTCAGACTTTGTGCACGCTGAGGCTGCTAATGGAAGATGAAACAGATCACACACACCTCGTCATTTAGAAGTGAAACAGACAAGACAGTACCAACTGTAGCTCTGTGAGGCTGGACTAAATGACAACTGTGCTCTGAGCTATAAGCTAACTCCATCATGCTAACATACTGCTGTAAATGATGTTGGGCAGGATGCTATTAACTGGGTTAGTTTACTGTGATAACATTTGTTATTTGGCACCAAACACACAGGCACATGCAGGAATTTGATCATTATTGATACACGGTGATGCTTTTCTTCTTTATAAATCATCCCTGGCAATGATATAAAGTCAGTAAGCAGTGAAGTTTCCTTTCACTAAATCAATTCACAGAACGCTGCTGCTGCTGCTGCAGGGACTGAACCTGCAAGCTTTAGTTTATACAAGGATCAGCCGGCGCGCTCAGCCATGATGACACCGCTCTCCTTTCTGTCATTCATCACCTCATCGCATCACTGGACTCTGCTAACCTCTGCTGCAGGTTGAACCCGGTGCAAGGTGTTTCTCCAACATAACTCGCAATATGTATTTCTCTCACTGCCTTAGTGCAGGCAAATGTCAGCAAATACCTACACTGAGCATTGCTGCATTAACTTGGGAGGAAAAGAGCTGTCTGGACAGCACACACTCTTCTGCACAAAGCTCCCAGTCTCCTGCGATGTTGTTTCTTTACAGGAGAAGATATCTGAGATCAAATGTGTTTATCAGGCGGCAAAAAAAAGGTAATTTGGCCATTGTTGCAAAGGCGTCCCATCACTTCTGTTGACTTTTTTCGCAGCTACTGGTTGTTCCATTTCCTTTCACAGGAGTGTTTTGTGATGCAAAAGTAATGGAAGGTACAGAAAATAAACACTCAACATGCTGAGGATGCTGCAGCAGAGACTGAGAAGAAGAAGCTGGAAATGTTCTGAACTATGTGAGTGTAGCTACGTCACAAACGCTGATCAAGTGTAACAGCGTCTTCTATCATTTCATTATTCACTCACTGTCGTTATTTATCATTAGTATTATTTATTAGTAGTATTTCTGGAGCCATCTCTAACAAAAAACTAAACAAACACTTGGAAGAAGAGGCTAGAGAAGACAAACAAGCCGTGACTTTTGCTGTGAGTGTAAAATAACGAGCAAAAACAAGAGATTCCAACTTGTTGGTACACAAACGTACATGTACATTACATCTGCTGCACTCAGTGTGTTCTTATCAGTGACAGATCAAATGACTTTGTGTAAAAAGGCCGTTTATGCCACCTGCCCTGTGCTGGCTCGATGCACACCGACAGCCTGCATCAGCCAGGAGAGGCTCTAAAACTAAATGTCAGCACTGACGACAAGTTTGTTGTTTAGTAGGAAAATTTACATAAAAATAAATCTGGCGGCTTCACGTGTAAGTTTCAGCAGTTTGTCTTGTGAATGTGCACATTTGAAAAGCATATTCTATGTCTGCACCTGCCAGTGGGCGATCGAGATGAGAGCAGGATTAACAATTAGCTAAATCCACTACAGGAGAGATCTGCTATTCTCTGCAATCAGAAGGAACAAAAAAACCAACATGCAAAGTCTGTATGAGCTTCAGTTCTTGGCCAAAATGAGTTGGAAAATACCAACATATCAGATATCGGCAAAAATCCAATTTCATGCATCCCTGCCCTGCACCGGACTGACAGAGTAAGCAGCTAAACATACCCATATGGCCCTCTGAGGTTCTGGAAACCAAAACAGAACTTTATAGGAAAAACATTCCTCAGATGGAAACACAGACAACTCCAAACAAACGCTGCTGCTGCTCCGTATCTGTTCAAAGTGTCGAGGAGCCAATTACATCTCAGAAACGGCTGTTTACAGCTTGTTGTGCTGCCATCAAGTGGCCACAGACAAAAACAAACAAATGTAAACAGGTTTATGCAAAAACATGCCTCACATCAGTGTGTCTCAGCTGAAAGTGCTTCACCGCGTCACCGTTTAAATATGTAAAAGAAGCTTGTCCCTTTATCTGCTGTAAAAGTCTGGATGTGCACCGTGAGCGAGGCCTCTTTACCTGCCTTATGTGAGAGAGAACATTCTCACAGCTCCACTTATTCTGCTGTGTCTCAGTGTGCATTGAAGTGGTGATATTAAGTAAGTGGGTGACATCAAAGCTGAGAGGATCCGTTTAATTATTACAGCAGAGATGATTGAAATGCAACCAGAGCTGTCTGATCTGCAGCAAACGCACACGCCTTTCCCATGACATTGGGCAAGCAAATCAATATTCTGATGTGATATTTGTGTTGGTGCGTGATAAGTGCTTTTGCCAAATTATATCAGAGACGGATGAAGCCAAGATAGCGTCGGATGATGTAAAGAGAAGCGCTCCGCATGTGAAATCATACAGACGTGACGTCGGCTAAAGCGAGCAACAGGGTGAAGAGCAGGAGGAAGGACCGAAGGAGGACAATGCAGCAGAATAAATGATAAAGTATATGAAGAGGAGGAGGAAAGAAATGGAAAATGGAAAGAGATAAACAGGAGTGTGAAGGGCGTTCAGAGAGAGGTGAGAAGTGGCGGCTTTTCTGATGCTCATGTAGTTAAAAAAGAAAAACTGAAGAGATGCAAGATATGAGGCATATGGAGGAGTGCAAATGGAAGGGATTTGCTGTATTAAAAACCTGTGAGACCGTCAAAAAAAAGTTAGGTAAGGAGCGGCGGGACTTTAATGCACCTCTTCCCTCCATATCACTTCTCATTCCTTTAATTTAGTGAAGCACCAGAAGCCCTGTATAATCCTGGATGTGAAAAGGCTCCAGCAGACTCTGGGGCTGAGGTTTGCAGATGACAGTCACAGATGAACACGCTGCCTTCACGCTGCTGTGACTGCAGCTCTTTGTACTGACTTCACCTCAGCTATAGGTGATTTAGCTTATAGCCAGCCCGATAAACCCAGGACTGTATTATATAATGGAAGTTACACAAACAAGTGAAAGACGAAGGCAAGACAACGTGTTCTGAGGAAATGCAATGTTCTCCCCCATCCCAAACGGTAATTTCTTTCGTGTTCAAGAGCACTCGAATGCAACACGAACTGATGACGCAGTCGTTCTACTAATGAATCGCAAGTCATCTGGCGACAAACCACTTGCTGAGGAGCCTCCACTGTGTACTGAGGCTGGTCACAAGATGGAAAAGATGTTTTCAAGTGGCCGCAGTGCAAAGAATGATCTGAAAGTACAAGAAGTTCAACGCTGTGAAAAGTCTTACTGGGCATGGTGGGAAGCCAAACGTGAGCCCTGAGTTAGCCAGAAAAGTAGAGAAAATGCAAGGATCGCCACCAAGGCCATCTTAATCAGTCTGTTGTGGTAGAACGTCTTAAGGCAGACACTCCAGTGGACACCTCCACCAGACTGGTCTCCACAGACGCTGACCAACATGGACTCCACGTCTCCAAAACAGGCACACAAAGCTTGAAGACAAATGAAGATTGGTAATTA